GTTTGCCCCTTTTTTGTGTGTGTGTGGGTGTGTGTGTTTTTCTTTATTTTTTTATTTCTCCTTTACTATTTTATTTACTAGTAGCATATTGTCGTTTTATAAAATATGAGACCAACATATGAAATGTTTTAGTTTAACCCTCAGCCACAAAAAGTTCAACTCCCAAATAAAAATAGTTTGCTAATTTTTATCTTAGGAAAGGCATTTAATTAAATATGATTATCACTGTCTTAATCACAAAGAGCATTTTTAAGTATTTTTACAAAAACGTTGGGTCAACACCATAATTGGTTAGGGAATATTTGCCACACTTTGAACATTTTATTTTTGGGGACATTTACATCTGTGCCCCTAACTCGAACCCACTACTCAGATATTCCCCTAATTTTGAAGCATGCTCAAATTTGCCCCTCCGCTGTTAAGTCACTACTCAGAAATGCCCTTCCGTACAGTACTGTAGCACTTTCTGTCCAATACTGTAGCACTTTCCGTCTGCTACAGTACACATGGGCCTTTGACGGTCAAAGGCCTTTGACTGGACGGAAGGGCATTTCTGAGTAGTGACTTAACGACAGAGGGGCAAATTTGAGCATGCTTTGAAATTAGGGGCAAATCTGAGTAGGTGGTTCGAGTTAGGGGCAGAAATGCAAATGGCCCTTATTTTTAACATTTGAAAAACTTTCGTTGTTTGACTTTATTTTAAATTTGAAATTTGAATTGGTTTGAACCAACGTGGGACCTAGCAACAGTAAAAGTGATGACATGGTATCATTAGCATGTAATTACTGTAGCTTAATTATCCGGGCGTTACAGGCCTCTGTCAAGCCTAAGAAATCTATGGCAAAGAAGCCTGCACGCAAGCCAAGTGCTTCACCAACAGTGCCCTCAAGGCCAAGTTCCTCAGCTATGCCCTCTCGGCCAAAATCTTCAAGGTCCTCAAGGCCAATTCCTCATGCTGCTCCTGCTCCTCCAAAATCCTTAGCTCCTCCAAAGCCTCAGCTGTTCCGACAAAGTCCTCAGCACCTGTGCATCTTGCCATGTGCCAAAGGACTACAGGCATCTTCATTGCCTCCGGTGTCTCCGCTGGTTCCTCAGCTGCTCCAAGTTCCTCAGCTGTCCCCTCTCTGCTGAAGACAAAGGCAACTGCTGGACGAGGTCCTCGCCCTAGTCCTAAGAAGAAGCAGGCCGCCTTCCAAGTACCGTCTGATGAAGACGAAGCTGATGATGATGAACTTGCAGAAATCATCAGAGACAGGCAAGCCAAGGCCGCTAGTGCCAAAGGAAGCAACGTGCCACTGCTTTTGGATCCAAGGTTGATCCTGGATTTCATTGATCTATGGCACAAAGATCCCAACACCCCTTTGCCGGAGATGAACCTCACTCCTGGTCAAAGTCATGTCTTAATTGCTTTCATTGAAGAAGAAAAATGGAAGTATGAGAAGGCCAGACAAATCAAGAAATCATAGTACAGAAAAGAGAAACTGCTGAAGAAAAATGTTGTCAAAATGACAACTGAAGAACTCGTCAAGATGCAGGCTGACATCAAAACCCTCTGTGATGAATTTGATACTTATTATGCTGATTGGAAAGGAGCCAAAGTCAGGTTTGTTAAACTGACTGAGAATATCACCAATGTTGCAGCTCCATCGCAACAAGAAATTCCTCAGGCTGCAGCATCTGCTCAGCCTACTGAAGAACATGCCAGCACCGCCGATGACTTTCAGGTTGCTGAAGAAAATGTGAGTTCCAGGGCTGATGACTTCATTCCAGCCGCTGAAGAAACTGTCAGGGCACCCACTAGTGGTGCGCCTGAAGAAACTGAAGAAGTCAGGGCAACTGCATCAGTTGCTCCTGAAGAATCTTCAATAAGATGTCCATTTCAGCAACATTGGCACCTTCAGGCCTCCTTTGATTTGAAGGATTTTTCATAGGAAAAACGCAGGAATGCTCATTCCATAGGATTTGCTATTGTAGCGCCGTTTGATTTGCAGGAACCAGTCCGGAGGAATACTGTTGCGAGCCAGAGGAACACTGTTGGTTTCCCTGTGATTTTGCATGAAGTGAAACATTGAGTCATACCTCTTTTTTACACAATGACCGAGGCAAGACGGACATGGCTGCATACCAAATTCCTCTCGTGACTCAACCAATGCTTTCCGTGAGCGCGTTCCAGTGAAAGGGGTTGTGCAAGTACAGAGCATGTGTGAGTTCGGTGCATGGCTTGTGTCTAGCCCAGTTTGGAGTGGTGCATGGTTTCTCTACTAAATAATGCATTCCATCAATTCCAGTTCCTGCATTTCAAATGTTCCATTTGTTTCACATTCCTCTACTTTTTCACCGTTTTTAATTCCTCTGTTTTACACCTGCAATCCTATAGTTTTCCTGTATTTTTCCTGTTCCAGCGTTTTTACAATCCTGTGACTCAAAGAGGCCCTCAATTTGTGGAGCTTCGCCGCATCTCTCCTTGTGTTCATCCTCAACCTCCATGCCACATCTTCATCTTCTCGATCTATTGTTCTCTGCATCTATTAATCTCACCCGCAGAAAAAAATGATATCTGTTAGTATACACCTATACCTATGTGTAACTAGTAAACATGTACGTGCAATGCACGTCTCAATCAAACCACATCAAATTTATGTGGGTATAAGTTTTTTTAATCCATTCTTTAGGAAGACCCCTTATTTATGAACAAAACGAGAAGTACAATCCCATCAATTATCTTTTGAGGATGCCATGTGTAGTTCAAGAAGACCATGACGAAATCATAACTATATAAAAAATGTCCCAAATCAATGGCAATCGACTGGATGAACACCTCCAGTGCTCATATAAGGGCGTAGCCTATTTAGTCTATTGTATAGTAAAAATGGAATCAAATATCCGATGAACATCCCAGAATGCTTATTTTCTTGGGTGAACTTCAAAGAGCATAGAAACATTGTCCACATGAACGTGGTGTCTATGAAAAGTTGGAACAAAGATACCAAAAAATAGCAATCTTTGAAGAACTGAATTAGTTTCCCTCTTGGATTTGGGCTGCTTGTTATCTTCATAATTTGAAGGCTCGACGGTGGCCGTAAAACCACCCATGGGAGTAATAATGACTGAGCCGAAAGAGTCGGACAGTTTTCAGTCTCTCCTGGAGTGAAACTACAGTTTAGACATACATTATCTATTGTGTATATAGTTGCAGAACATCTAGAAGCTAAAAAAAATCAATAAAGCGTTAGATTCACGGTAAGGAATGGAGAGAGGGAATTTAACATTTTCTCTATGACATGGATGTCATGCAAGCAACCCTTTCTCTACCCTAAGCTTAGTTCTGACATGAGTTAAACATGTCACCATGCTTCAACATCTTAGCAATGCAGAAAGGCTACTATTCTAGAATGGTTAGAATATAAGGAAATTGGGCATGAGCACATAAAGGGCTATAAAAATTATTGTTTCACAAAGCTAACCAGGACTGAAAAAGAACAAACACAAAATTTAGGATGACCAAAGCCATACAAAGACCTTCCTAACTTTGATGAATATACCCTCAGGAGAAGAAACCACACTAAATTAACAACGGATATATAAATAAGTTTAAAAGGCTAAAATGAAGGAAATGCCTAATGTCATGGCGCCTTTAGTTATTCATGTGCATATCCAATAGTAAGGATGATCTAATGAGAGAAGAAAAGTTTCAAAGTTATCAGTTGATACAAAATGTGCAGCAAGAATATATATATTTGATAAACTATTCAACAGTAAGTATGATGCATCTTATTAGAGGAAAAGCAACTAAAAAAATCCTGGTAAATTTAAGAAGAGAGATGTAACTAAGCTGTGTAGAAAGATCTTACCAGCGCTTGCAAAGGACTCGATTGCAGTAGCAGTTGCGTAAGAGATGATGCACTGATGATCTCCATCTGCTCATGACTTGAAACCAGCGGCAGAGTATACGGATGAAGTTATCATCAAAGCATGGTTTCATAACTTGACTACAAAAAAAGGAAGTGATAAGAAATCCATACTAACTGAGCAACAGTATTCTTCCTGTAGTCATTGCTATCTGACGATGCGCCGCTTCTTCCCGCCGCCGCCGCCTCCCCGGCCGAACCCACAACCATTCATATCCCCTTTTCACATTAATTATCCCTGATGTTGTTCTACAAAGATGACCACAAATTCTGAATATCCCTTCCCCCACTACAGTAATTAAGTGCAAATCAATTATTTCTTCTCATAGCTTTTTAGAAATACAACAAAATCCGAGAACGGTTAATATTGAATACATAGAAATCACCAAAGAACACAAGAGTGGCAGAAGGGGGGTGATGTAACCTTCCATCCGATGGAGAAGCCGATGCACGTGGCAACGGTGGCGCTGCCGCCCCAACAGAGGGCGCAGAGCGTTACCACTTCTCCTCACACGCTCATAGCGACCTATCTTATTGGCGCTCCTCCTCTTCGCCTCCATCATTGCTGGAGCAGGCAAGGGAGAAGGGGCTGGGTTCCTACCGCCGCCACCATTAGGACTTAAAAGTTCAGAGAAAAGCACTCAAGCATTAAAATGAAAGAGGCTCACCTGGCATAAAATTCACAAACATCTGCTTTGAAGGCTGCATATTCTACCAACTTCCTGTTAGAAGAAAAACAATAGTTTGATATGAGGGAAACTTTGTATGAAATATTTCCAGTATATGTTTACGGAAATCACGTGGCCAAAATAAATCTTAGCTTTCTTACACGACGAATAACATATCCAGAAACAACATGAGGGAGAGGAGTTTATCCTTCACTATGTCATATATATTACCTTGATTCACCTCATATGCAGCCTTCCTAGATTTCCCGTCAAACACCCTTGTCGACATGACACATAAAACATCTTCAGAAACAACATGAGAGAGAGAGAGAGAGGTGGTTAAGTTAGCAAATGGTAATAAGAAGGGTAAATCAAGAATCAATGTAGATGAACTGCAGCAGCATCAATCGTTCTGCTTTAACATTACAGTCAACAAAAACAAAAGACGAACTCAAGAATCCTATTTACCTTCCTATGAGCATGCTTCTACATAGGAAGTTAGTAGAATATGCAGCCTTCAAAGCAGATGGAAATAAAAATGCAGATTTTGAACAAATCATGCAAAGTACACTCTGGAACTATGTCACACTGAAATCTACAACTGCATATGGAAATAAGGTCACTCTAATCAGAGTACCGAATTTTGACATCGACACACCATAAATGGACAAAGTACCTTCACAGGAGTACTTTCAGTGAACATGCATTTGTCGTATAATAAAGTGAACAAAAGCAATTTTAGTGATCGAATGATGAAAGACCCATAACAGGGTCCGGTGTAACATTACCTCTGAACCGTAGGCGCTGTGAGTAGACCGTAGTGGAGAAGGTGTCTTCGTGCTCGGGCAATACATCGCTTCTTGTTGTATTCCGCTCTCTTCTCATCGGACATTCGTGCAAACCAATTTTGACCACTTTTTGGTGTTTGTTCTTGCAATTTTTCACCCGCTTGATTTGCATTCACATGAGTAGGCGTATTTGTCAGATCTTTAAACGGGGAACGTTCCCCTGATCCTAATGGGGATGCAGGCGGATGATGATCCTTCATCCGTGGTATGTCAAAAAAATAGGGAACATTTTAAATCAGTACAAGCACATAATGATGCTACACCTTTGGATAAATTTAATACAAAGGGATGTGACTGAATTCTTAAATGTTGGAGAAAGTACACATGGATCTTAACTGAAGGTATGCTAAGTTCTCATCTAATATTGAGAAGCTGAATTTTTAAATGTTGCAAACAAGTAACCCTAAAATCTCAAGTCTTGCTTGGATTCAGTGCAAAAAGTAAACTCTCAAGTCTTGCCTGGATTCAGTGAAACAAGAAAGGTTTTTGTGTATAAAAAGGTACATCTAAAAGGTGACAAAAAGGACCTTAGCTGCAGGAAATGTCGATGACTGCCAATTGTCTAAACCAGTAGAAATAAACTATCTGTTGTTAGGGAGAAGGCAAATAAAGAACATATGAATAATCTTAGTGAGATTGCCTGAATTTCAGATATTAGTAGATCATTGAAAACATCCTCGAAAAGTTCAAAGGTATTTTTCTTGCCACTTGAGCAGTCCGTTGTGGCATTGCGGGAAAGTGCAGATTCCAGACAACATTTAAAAGGCAATTTCAACAACACAATGAATTTTGTCAACTATATTAAGAGCTTATTAAAAATAACTCAAAAATCAGACTGTAACCCTTTTAATGATGCGTTTGGCATTGTCGTGGATCATGATAATTCACCTTTTACTGCTAGTTCCATGGCTATTATCCCACAACAATGCTACTTTGGCATTGCGGTGTATGCAGAACATCATGCACTAAGATGACCACTCTCGGCCATGAACTATATGATTATACAGAAAGAGAAGAATCACACGCATCAATTTGTCTTGCGTGGAAGGATCATATACTGGGCCTCATATACCAGGTACTAAATTGACTTTCCTAATGTTACGGACACATTGACGTTATGATTATTTTTGTACACACACTATCTTCTATATCATTGTGTAGTCATTTCATGAAACAAAAATGTAGAAGTAGATTGTATTAGCTTTGTCTCATTGCATTAATGACATGTATCTGTATGTGCGTAGGTATCAAATCAACCGATCTCTGATTGCATAAGTAACAAACTTGTGGAATGCACGTGTAGCCTAATATAAGCTAGTTCGGCTAGATCTCTATCGACCCGAATTTAGCAGAAGTTATGATCACACAAAAAACATTTTAGAGTCCGAACAAAAACAATAAGCGACCCAATGCTAATCTGATGGCTAAGGCAAGCGTAAGTAGAGTCTGAATCTGAAAATCTAATCCAACTTACCATTACCAATTAAATCAAAAGAACGAAGAATGAGACATTGCACATGCAAGAATGGTTGGTTCCAGAATCTACAAATGTAGACATATATGGAAAGGAAAGCTGCTAGCACAAAGCAACGCTGGTGAAAATTTCATACCCATATTCAAAGAGTGGAAATTTCTATTAAAATTCAGACCTATATCCAAAGAGTGAAAATTTCTTATAATCAAGTCAGCAATGAAATTTCACTTGTGTGGAAGGAACATATAATGGACCTCATGAGATACCGAGAGAACAAATCACAAGCATCAATTTGGAGGATCAGAGAGATACAGAGAGGGTGAAATTTGCCTGGCTTGATGGCGAGGGCCTCAGCGTATAGATGGCCAGCGTAGAAGTGGGGGATAAGAGAGTCGATGGCGACGGAAGCCGAGTTGAGCAGCGCCGGCAGAGGAGCGGAGGGTCGGCGGCAGATGCCGACTCGACGGGCGGCGACGGGCGATTGGAGCGGCGGCAGAGTGGAGGATCGGTGGGTGGCGACGGCAGCCCATGCTGGCACGTTCCTTGGGCAGCACAGAAGGAGTGGGCGGCAGAGGCTTACTGGAGCGGGCGGCGACGGGCGACTGGAGCGGCGGCGGAGTGGAGTATCGACAGGCGGTGGCGGCAGCTCGTGTTGGCGCAGCCGTTCGGCAGCACAGAAGGAGCGGGCGGCTCACAAGAGGAGAGGACGGCGGAGTGCCGGCGGCCAAGCTCCGGCTCCGGAGGCGGCGAAGGGCGCGGCGTGGCGGCTCCCGCGGCTGGGGAGGCGTCGACCAGCGGCGGGGGCGGGCTCCCGGCGACCTGCGGCGGCTTCCCGTGGCTTCGGCGGCGCGAGGCGGCGGTGAAGGGCGCGGCTTCCCGTGGCTCGGCACGAGGCTGCGGGAGGAGGAGGAGGTCGTGCGGGAGGAGAAGGTGGAGGTCGTGCGGTCGACCGGTTGCGGGGCAGATTAGCGACCGATTGATTGTCGTGGTTCTTTAGCGTTAAACACGGAAGGATTAAGGGTCATTAGATTTTGATGATAGATGGATGTGATTGTTTGGATCTGCTCCTTTCTTTCTTTTATAGTGGTAGTAGATAATAAAATCATTAATGCTTCTGACTGTACGTCACATAAATTGCCCTCAAGTTACAAAATATTGCAGAGCGATGCTAAGTGACAAAAAAAACGTTTCACACAGGGGAATCCTCCACTTAGGCCGGCTCACGGAGCAGGGAGCTTCTATACTGCGCTCAGCGTGCTGGGAGAGGACGCAGCGCGCCCGTTTGGTCTGGCCCATGTGCGAGCGGCCTGTTTTGAAATTTCTTTTTTCTTTTTTGTTCTTTTCCTCCTTTAAATAATTTGGCACTTCAAATAATTTAAAAAGAGAATTTTTAAATAAAATGCTCAATAAATCATAAAATGTTTGTGGATTAAAAAAATGTTTGTAATTTTATAAAAAAATTCCATATCAAGAAAATGTTTTCAAATTTGAAAACAAATGTTTGAAAAATCAAACCATGTTCATGATTTTTTTTAAAGTTTGTGTATTAAAAAATGTTAATAAAATTGAACAGAATGTTCGCGAAAATGTTATCGGTGATGCAGCAAAATGTTGCTATGGCCTTTGGAGATTATGATTTTTTTTCTGCTGTTGTAACGCACAGACCCTTTTGCTAGTTTTTTCTAAGATCGATGAGATTGTTGCAGCATTATTGAACAAGAACTGATGTGCTTATGTCTGCACTGGTTTGATACTCCCTCTATAAGAAATATAACTGCGTTTAGATCACTAGAGTAGTTTAGTGATTTAAACGCTCTTATACATATCAAGATAAGCCATGCCTTTTGTAACGACGAACAAGTCGACAAATTAATGGGAAAAAATATAGAAGATCAAGTCGAAACGGGTAAAAGAGAGCGAAGAAGCCCAAGTGAAGATTAAAGCGCAAAGATGAGAAGTCCACCATGGTGAAAGGATGAGAGAGATTGGTACATAGACAAATCCTATTATGCACTTTGGGATAGGATGTTATGCCGCAAAGGGTGACGGGCCGACCCACATTGCAGTTATATAGGGCTCTTTTTTGTGTGCCCTTCGGCTACTTACCAGTATCAACTTATTTTTTTTTGCTATTTCTCAAATATTGAAGCATGTGGACATTTAAAAAAATTGTGAACATCTTTTGAAATATTTGTTTAATCTGCGAACCGTTGTAAGACATTGTTTTTTAATAAAATTGCTAACTTTTAAACCCGCCAATTTCCTTGAGCAGCCTTCCTCGTTCGGCTCTCACCAAACCTCAAAAAAAGAAAAAGAAAAAATAGCAGCTCCGCTAATTGTTTTAGAAATGCAAGCCCATATGCCGGATGACATTTTCTTGAAGATATTTCATTCATGAATAAGCTCATATAATAAGTAAATAAATAAATAGAAAAATATGACAATTTTTATGTCTTAAAAAAAGTCCGCCGCAGTTTTTTTTTGAGCAAAAAAAAAAAGGTCCGCCGTAGTGGGCATCGAAATTCTTATCTGGAGCAGCCCACCAAACCAGACATAGGTGTGCGCGGCCCAATGCCCAACCCAACCCAACCCATATGCTCATAGTTCGTTTCTTCTTGTGTTTTCCCCTCCCTGTTGCTGAGTCCCCATCCGCACCAACCCTAGCCGCCATGCACAACTCCTTTGGCCATCCGCACCAACCCTAAGCCGCCATGGACATCTCCTTTGGCCACATCTCGGTCTACGGAGTTGTGATGGGTGTCAATTTGTCTTGCTCCTCAATCTTAGCAGATGATGAATTTGCCTGTCGTGATTGGTGAGTGAATTTCCTGGCCTCCCCCACGGACTGCAATTCGCCTGCTGGATCTTGCAAATTTCCTCGGCCTTTGTCTCAATCTCCTGAATCTACTACTTATTTAGGTTTTTTCCCACCCCACGAGTGTCACCTCGTTTGTCTGGCCGATAAAGATTGAATCTTTCTCACTGTATGGTTCATGTTGGTGCGCCAGTAAATCTCTCTTCTTTTCTCAATCCGTTAGACAGACTCGGTTGTTTTGGTGAATTTCCGTCCCTTTTGTGATGTTTGTGTATCTTCTTTTGCCCTCTATCAGGGTGTAGATGAGACTGGTGAGTCTGCTCATTATGCTGCCACCAACTTATTTTGGCCATGAAACTCTACCTTATAAGTAATCAAGCAATTCTTCCCTGCACACTTCTTTGTTACTGCGATATAATGTCTTCATTTCCCCCCTTGTACCAGGGAGCAAGGCATGTCGGGTGGGGGAGCCAGGCCGAGGTTGCAACCAAGCACCTCACTTCATCAGAACAACAGAGTCAACAGGGAGCAGATCAACTCTGAAACTACCGAAAAGTTCCAAGTTTTCAGTTCCAAATTTTAGCATTGGAAGCCTCAAGGCTCACATCGTACTAGAGATCATGCCGGTAGGCAAGTAGAGTGAATGAAGGCAGATGTTTTTAGCAGTTATGTTCGCTACCAACGTGTTATCATCTACTGACACTAGTGTAGTGTAAAAAACGTTCTTATATTATGGGACGGAGGGAGTACTCCTTTTTTTGTGTGCCTACCACTTGCAGAAAAGACTGATTGTACATCATCGATTCCATCTGGATTATGCCTAGGGCACTCTGGCCCCACATTCTCCATGAGCAAATAGGTGAGGAAGCCTGAGTGAGATCCCATCCTCGTCGCCCTAGTGAAGAAACCTT